ACGGTCAATTTGATTCCAAATTCTAACGCTAAGGTGACCAATTCGTCGTAGTTTTAGCTATTTATTTCCGTAGATGTGCTTTTTGCTGCGACAGTTGGAATAATCTTTGTGACAAACACTGCACATTGATCCTTGCAATTCAGTCATTACATGGCAACAATACAACTATCTAAGTAATGAGAAGCATGCTTGTTCATACAACTGCTCAAATATTTAAAAAATCTAAGCAGGCCTTCCTAAAGGTTTTCAAAAAAAAACAGTGAAACTCACAGTTTTTCTCGATTTTCACTACTTCAAAGATTGATTTTGTTTCAGGCCACTTCAATATTCTTGTAGAAGGACCTCCGTAAGATATGGTGGTATATCACCTTAACGATCAGCATTGTGTCGACCCAAAGCAATGCAAGAATGAGTTGCCGGAAAGGACAAGATGTGGATTAGTACGCTATAATCGCTTTAGTTATACAAAACAGTATTTTAGCGACGAACTATGAACTATTGAGTAATATAACAAGAATGATGCTGAGATATGCGCAAAACTAAGATCTCAGGCCAGATTCTAGCCCAGGATTACCGTTTCCGGGATTCACATGTTACCCACTGCATCACTAAGGTACCTGTTTCGCCTTTCCCTCAGTTACGCTCAGTCAGTTGCCACTTGGTATTCACGAAGATGACAAACTGCATACTTAGCAAGCTGACGAATGAGGAGAGCTTCCTCGAAGTATTACAATAATATTGCTAATTTGTAGTCAAAACGACGATAAGAAAAAAATTCAGAAAGTCAGTGAATCTCACTGAAATGTGTCATCCGCTAATGCAAAATAAATAAGAAAGAAAAACAACAACTAGAAACCATCAACAGAGGAAGAAAATGAAGCGCTTTATCCTTCGAAAACAAAGCTGCTGTCGATTAGAAATGTTTCTAGAACTTTGCTATGCATCCGACATGTGGTTTAGCGCCTGAAGAACGCTATGCATTTTGTGTATCATACCTTTTAGAATAAAATTAGCTACCAAAACATCAAGCAGGACTTTGAAGTCAAGACTTTGACAAATCTCCCAACGGTTTACCGCCTCATCGTGGCTGGGAGGTCTTCCTAGGTGTCGGACTACGACCTACAGCGGGGATTCATCCCCTGTCAGGATCTCCCAAGCTGAGAAGGAGTCCGGCGTTCTCCTTAGAAACCCTAGCTAAGAGTAAACCAATACCAGGATCCACCACCGTCCTGGTATCAAAGCCGCATGGTGGCAAACCACCCTCTGATCCACAATGGCTGCGACTGCCTACCGTGGTGAAAAGCTGGGCAGACTTTGGCGAGGCCGACCTCAGGACTCTAGCAAACCATAATGGCTTGAACAGCAAATCTCCGAAAAATGGGATTATGCTGGTGTCTGCACAACCAGTGAAGAGGGGCCATTCAAGTATCAAGTAAGTAAGACTTTGACAAACATCCTGTCACCGAGTTTCTGGAAAATCTGCATTGAAAAAGAAACATAGAAAAGCGATCATGTTCTGCGAAGAATTAACTCAGAAAATAAGGAGAATATTAGTGTCTCCATTAATAATCACAAGAGAAAAGAAATAAGTTGAAAATATGCTACTGCATAATCAAATAGTGCCAATGGCCTATCTAAATATCGAAGCAGCTGGTTATTGCGCAATTTTGTAATTAATCGCTACTTGAAGAATCATTTCCACGGCTAATCTTAAATAAAAAACAAGGATTGCAATTATGGCTACTACTTACTTGGTTGCATGGATACTTGGACTGCCCATCTTTACCGGTTATGCGACCCTCAGCATGATTTCCAGGTACAGCGTTGAGGGTGGAGCTTCTGGAATTGCAAGTTACCATGAATGCTCTTGGTCGTCATGATAAACAAGGATGCGCGCTCATCTTCAATCTCTTCAATCTTCAATTATGACCTTGAAGAATGTACGATCTTTTCTGCACAGCTTCTCCAAGTCCATATAGAACGCTTCGACTTCGTCTTTGTCACAGTTTGGTGTCAGATCGTAAACGACAGAAATTTTCAAAGCCGTGTTGATCCACATCTTCTCAATCAAAAACACCCGATTCACCTTATTAGTTTTTCGAATAAATCAATGTTTATGACCAAACTCGTGCTGAAGAGAGCTTCTGCGCCGCCTACTCGTCTGTTGTCGCATGTTCTGAGGAAAAGTTATTCTCTGAAGTCATAGATCACATTGAATAAATGGCTTCTTCTCAACTCAACCAGTTTGATGGTGTCATACCTCATCCTCTTGTCTGCATGATCGAGTCCTCTATTGAGGACTCAGATGAAAGAAAGCGTCCATTGTACAGAAAGCGTCCATTGTACACAGAGATCATTGCAATAGTCCTTCACGATTTAGATGGCTTTGGATGGCTTCGGGATTATAGCAGCTTCTCCGTATTTGTCCTACCCTACGCTACACTATCGGACATCTTCCGGAGATAAGGGAATGAGGACCGCATATTTTACTGTGTCTAGCCTTTGATACTCAAATAGTATCCTAAACTTCAAAAGTGGGTGCCGGATACACCCACAGATAGGTTTCCAGTCCCACGCATAGTAGACGAAGATTGGAGCAGGCGGTTCGAAACCTCCATCCGTATATTTCACATTTACTCGATTGCTGGCTTTTGGCCGATTTGAGTCGTAGAATAGAATCCGCGTAAACGAGAATATGCCCACGCACGCATGCATGAAAGCACCCTCACAGACACGGATCGTATTCGGCAAATGGGAACGGCAGAAACAACGACTCCATCCTTTGTTTTCATTTGCGTGTCAGGGAGGTCGCTTTCTGTTATTAACCCCGTAGCCGTTACCTATAGATACACCTTGTTGCTTCGTAACTAGCCAGAATGAGATTCGTCTATATGGGAGATCCGTGCCCGGTCCATCAACTTTATCTTCGACAATTCTGAATGCAGAACGACACCTCTTATTGTTGATTGTTTACTTACGTCGGAATTTCGTATCGTCTCTTTCAGTTGCGTGATATGGGATACGTCTCGGATCGTCCTTTCGACTAAGCGTTCTATAACACTGAGTGATCTTTCATTCTGGTTAAGTAATGACTGAATGAACTATATAGAAATATCATATGTCTAAGCTGTTGGACAAAATCCGACCAATAAAGTTAATTTCGCTAATGATACAATCAAGCAAGTAGTACACATTTGTTGATGTCATCGCAGGAGTGTTGGCATAACCAATCCACAAGTAGTCGCCGCCATGTTGATCAGAGAGAGTTGTTACCATGCGACTAGTTTGCTACCAGGATGGTGGTGGATCCTGGTATTGGTTTACGCTTAGCTGGGCTTCCCGATGAAAACGCTGGACTCCTTCTCAGCTTGGGATACCCTGTTAGCGGGATGAATACCCCTGCCGTACATCGCAGCATGACACCCAGGAACACCTCCCAGCCACAATGAGGCGGTAAACCGTTGGGAGGACTCAAAATGTATATTCAATGAAATCATACTTCCTCTGCTAAAACATATACCAAGATCTTCGATTTGATTTCGGCCGCAACTAAACATGGTCATATAACAAACCCAGTTGCATTCAGTCTCTGAAAAATATCACTAAAAGAAGAAGACATAATCCCTCTATCTACAAACCACTCAGATCGCCATCGCAGAGTTGTAGGCATAGTCACCAAACTTGATGTTGGCCGTTTCCGTCAAAGACGTTGCAACCACAACGTTCGAAGGACACGCCTAAATTGTGGTCTTAGTTTTTGTTCGTTGCATGGCAACAACAATAATAGATGTTCCGGCTTGTCTTATGAAAAAACGAAACTTATGACAACAAAGACAAGCACAAAACCTGCATTACAACTGTTCTGGAGATATCGATGAGTTGCTCAATATGTTCGAGCAACAGTCCTGAACAGTTATAGAATTGAATTTCTTCCGATTACAAAGCGAAATACTGTAAACAAGGTTTCTAGTTAAGCTGTTATGCTGCATGTATATGCTCCTTCCAAAAGATCACAAAGAGAAACACATTTCATTTTTTTTCCAATGCATGTTTCCCCGTCCCAGTGCTGGACTTGCTTCATTTTTGTTGTTACATCAGAAACACCGTTTCTGTTGTTAAAAGCCTTTCTACTTCCTCTTATCACCGTGGTATCACTAGATCATGAACACCCTGTTGCTTTGTTTGAACGAAGTTGTTTTTCCACAGGCTAAAAAATAACAATTTTCCATATTGCTGGAAAAGAGGGAGGCTCACAATCGTCTCCCACGTCTTCGTCCTCTCAAGGATAATTTTTGCGACACTTTAGCTTCGCAAATAGTTTAAACGTGGGTGCTAGCTCAGGGCACATCTCTAGCACTTCGTGGGGAATATCACCACAACAGACGTCGGTTAAGGTTCTGGGCGTGAAAAATAAATAATAACGAAGCAAAATTCTTGCCTTCTCGCTGGAGAGCTCAAGATAGAACTGAAGTTCCGTTTTCGCAAGAACTACTACTCCTTCAGCAAACACGAGCGCTACCGAGCAATATAATATATTCGATTATAAAGCTGACGGCCCAGTAAATGGAAATCTAGTCTTACAAGAAATGACTGGATGGGTTAATGAAGACGTGAACGAAACGATTTATCCAAATGTAAATACGCTGATATCGAACTGACTAACGACAATCCATGTCGAATCTAAGTGTAAAGCAGGACCACAGCTGCAGGTTGCCCACAAGAGGGCCTCAATGTGTCATCTCTAGACGCTCCGTGGTTTAAAATAAGCTTAAAAACTCGGTCATAGCAAACAAACGGAATTAATTTATACCTTCAATGGCTTAGCGATAATTCTAGCAATGAGTAACAACAATAACAAACTCCGACATTCAAGTGGTACAGAATGTCAGACCAAGAGAAGATAACAAAGTTGAGAAAAGACAAAAAATACATCTCTATACAGAAATTACCGCATAGTGGAAGGTGCAAAGAATGAGCTATGAAAGCATAACATTTTTGATTCAGAACTCTGCTTTCTTGATGAGCAAGTAGACATTGGAGCCCAATCCAAAGCCGTGAAGGTTGAATACCTTAAAGTTAACATGACTACTTGGAATTCAGAGCACTAACACTAAATTCAAAATCAGTATTACACCAATGCCTTGAGTAAAGGTAAATCTCACTAAGTGCACATCAGCACAAAACAAGAGTTCCTTTCGAAACCAAAATAAAAAATGTCGAACTGCAGACTCAAATCCGGATCAATAAACCTCTAGGAGTGTTTTAAATCAAGAAAGCACAGATTCGATACAAGAGTCGCCTCTTTATTCCCCAATATTTCATAACATATTACTTTGCTAAAAAGTATCCAGAAATTTGAACGTTACACAGAAATGTCCCCATTTTTGGAACGATTACCAACGATCGTCGAGTGCTCGAAAACTCAACTCAAAAGTTCTCAAATGGGAAACAAACCATACCTCTCCTTTCAGTCTCATCAATAAGCTTCCGAAGGACGCATACGCAGCAATAAGGGGTTCCGTCCGACCTTGAATCGTCGCCCTCTATCCGGCAAACACGTCCAAACATAACGTATTCGAACTGTGCAACCCGCGAATAATTCGCCTGGAACGAACATTACTACTTACGTAACTTGTTCTACAGCTACAGACAGTTGAATTGTTACAAATGTAAAACTAGCAAGATTATCACACGACTCGCTTCCGATTCTTTCATGGACAATAATTCACAAAGACGTCAGAGAACTTCTATAGAAAAATAACAGCAAAGACTCCTTTCGCCACCAAATCTGGAGAGTACCGAAAACCATATTTCAACTCTGAGAAACCGTTCTTCATTCCCAAACGCAATATTGTTGGGGAAATGATTAAAACGTGCACGCTGCCTTCCCTGATATGTGCAGACCATCACCTTTGAAAGCGCTGGTTCTGAAACACCTTTCTAGCGACGACTGCTTCATATTCAGAGTCATTGTTAGTACGCAGAGCTTAGAGAAATCCTCTTTGAAATAACTTGATAGCACTACTTTACACTCAATATCAAGCTGGGTGCCGAGTCAACGTAGTAGACAAGCTACCTTACCTGAGGGTCGTGTTCTCCTTCGTCGGGCATCCCATCGTCGCGAACAGATGTGGTGATCATCAGGCGGAACTTGTCGTTGAGGCTGACAGGATAAATTTGCGCATTCACGTCCAAAATCAACTCCATACTGAAGTTACGCATGATATTCCTCACCGACGAAAGAGAGAAACTCGCGTTTACAGCTCTACAACTGTCCTTCGTACGAAGAACGATCTCGGATAGAACAGTTTATAATGGAACTAACCTGAACGACTCCGAGTCGCAAAACAGTCACGAGCACCGATCGAACTTCTTGCCGTCGGGATCGATGTTCTTGACCATGAACATATCGTCGAATATCACGTCTGCCATGAATGTTCAGGACTGGTACAGAATGAAAGGAGAGGCGTGTAGAAGCCAGTGCTGAGCACAAAAGCGCTGCACGCCGGCCGACACCTAGTGCACCGAACTTGACGGCAAGTGTGCTGGATGCCGGACGACACGCGCCACACACAACTTGACGGCAAAAGTTGCGGTGTTTGCAGGGTATGCTGTTAGTGCTCTCTTGGCGAGTGACGATGAGGGATGCTGTGGTAACTTTACGGGTATGGCTCTATGACTCGTATAGCTGTAATATTCTTTCCGATGGTTTATTTTGGTGCGAAAAAGTTTTTTCGTAAGCGTCTTACTATCAATCGGTTCCCTATCTAACGCAGGTGCTGCGGCAGGCTTCGTCTGTGTGAGGACAGCATCCTGTTAATAATTTCTCTCTCAGTAGTTTACGGAGAGCCTCTTCTTGAACGGCTTTATTCCGTAGGCGATGGAGCAGAGTGTGACCAGTGAAGAGTAGAAAAGAAAAGTGAAGCCACTTTTCCCATAGTACTACTTGCGTTAAAACCACTCTGTACTTTCACTAACTGTGGACATTATTGAGAGGTTCTAAGCAAAAACATTTGTCGCATTGGTTGTATTCAGTTTCGGTCTGTGTGCTTTGTATGATGTCGGCTATGGAGTCTTAAATTCTTGCCAAGAAGTGCTATCGAGACGAAGTGAAATAAACCATGCAAAAGTAAATTTACTCACAATGGTGCAAGTGGAGAACGATGTTCGCTGCGCGCAGGTGACCGACCTGGAGTTCCAAAATATTCTGGTGAACCTCTAGAACCACCTGGAATTGGTAACATTGGGGTTCGCAAATTATGCTCTTGTAAGCATAGAAAGAGAGATTTATCCTACAAAGTTTTCTGCAGCACGTATTTCTCCCATAGTGACCCTGCTTCTTGCGAGACGGTCGCCTATGACGACTCGTGTGGTTTTTCTGATACTGATTTTTTCTTAGTTGCACTCCGTGGTAAAGACGCCGAACTCCTTCTACCTCAGGTGACAATGTTGGGAAGATGATAAACCCATTGCAGGTACCCGATGCACATCCATTGTCGCCCACTACAACCAACCATTCCTTTTGCCTTTTTCACCTGCAATGGATTGGCAGGTTACATAAGGCCCTGGAGGGAAACGCGATCCCATTTTCGTAACATTTTTTAACAAGGGACCATTTTTATAGCATTTTAGCAATAGTCGTTCTAAATCAAGTCTAACCAGAACTTTGTTTATGAGAGCGATACTAATCTCTCGATGACTATTTCGTTGCTCATTTCCACCAAGATAAAAGTTCTCAACGCTACCAACTTGTATTATTCCTATGGCTCTTCCAAATGCTTCTTAAATTCGAGTTTTATCCAAACAATAGTAACTGCCACGACCGACTTTCTATTAACCTCGGCATTGATCAAGTAATTTTCTTCGTATTTTTGTTGAGCAAACGCGAGGTGTTATTATACTTTGTTCACGATTAAGCTGACGTTTCGGCGGATTTCGCCTTCCTCAGAGCCGCTTTCTATGAGGTTTCCACTAAGGTTTCCAAACAATAGTAGTTGACGTCTAAACCATGATCGTCTCGCAGCCGCAAGCCACATGCCGCAATATAACCTTTGTGGTCTATCCTGTCAATTACCTTCGGAGTTTCAGGTACAACAGCGGTTCAGGTTTCCTTGGGTCGCACAACAGCGATGGTTTACCTGAGGGTCGAGGCGTAGCAATAGAACTGTTCACTATTACCTTGTGAAACAAAGAAGCGAATAACGTTTCTGAGATATTTACAAAACTCTGGACCGCAGGTGTCTATGGTGGGGAACGAACGCGCTATTGTCCTTTCCGGGGAGCAATGCGTTCACCACCACACCATGCGAGTCCTTCGTTTCGCCTGTGTCTCAGCTATTTCTGTCGATCTTTTCGCCACAGCAATCACCCGTCAGCGGGATTGATCTGGGGAGCGCAAATCGGCATAGAACCCAGTTAAGCTATGGCTGTAGTTGAAGTCACAATGTTTAACGTTTTGTTTTCTGCCTTCTATAATTGTGATTATAAACATTGTGATTTCAACTACAGCCATAGCTTAACTGGGTTCTACGCAGATTTGCGCTCCCCAGATCAACCCCGCTGACGGGTGTTTGCTGTGGCAAAAAGATCGACAGAAATAGCTGAGAAAGGCGAAACGAAGAACTCGCATGGTGTGGTGGTGAATGCGTTACTCCCAGGAAAGGACAATAGCGCGTTCGTTCCCCACCATAGACACCTGCGGTCCAGAGTTTTGCAAATATCTCAACAACATTGTGGTTGTATTTCGCTTAGTAACCTGCCATGAAAATTATAGAAGGCAGAAAACAAAATGTTAAACATTCCAATAACGTTTGATGTTTCAGGCAGTTAGGTACAGTCTATTGCAGCGCAGGAGCAACGATCCAGATCGGCCGCGGTTGCATACGCACGCGGCTCCTGCAGCCGGTTTAAGCCATGTGCCATCGGCGGCGAAGACATGCCATCGCTAACGTTGCCATCGATCGGTAGTGCGGATAATCCGCTCGTTCACCATCATCATCATCCCCCAGTCATCTCAATCACTCTCAGTCATCCTCAGTCAGTCATAGATATCCTCAATCATCCGCAGGTTAATGTACCTCGTTTCTCAGCTTGTCTACGGTGCGCGGTCAGTGGTGGCGTGTGTTTCCAAATGAGTTCTGTTCGCAACGCCATCGGCAGCATGCGCCATTCCTCCCACAACGTACGCCATGCGTACAAGGCCCCTGGCCGGCCAATTTATGCTGTGTTATCTGTTAAGCCGCTATAGTTGGCTTATCAGTTTTCAGTCGTTGTCTTTCTGGCCCATATCCTAGGCAATGGTGGCATCCATCGATGCTCAAACTTGACGTTGCAGACATAGCGTTATCCACGCCCGGCCGCCTGACTGTGTTTCGTAGATGACTCAGAAGTCGTTGTCCATAGCACCATCAATGCTAATGTAATTTACTGTTCTCATCGATCATGCTAAAAGTGCGTCTCACCGGTTTAATGTTGATCCTTAGCTCAGCCGAATACACGGCCCGTCTGCATTCCTCTCCGCCCCCAGCATACTGTCTCCAGCGAGCGCGACATCGTCCATGGCTAACAAGCCGCTATTTTTATGTTGTTGTTATTGTATTAATGATGTAACAATGTTCCAATGCCCTTATCTCGTTGTTCGCCTTACTTCGCTACTAGCCATGGCATCTCATCACTTTAACTTGCGGGATTCTTATGCCAATGCTTTTTTGTCGTTATTACTGTGTTGTTAATGTTGCATTTATATATACAAAGGTTTAATTTCCCAAGTTTGAGGCAAATCCTGAAATTCTGTGCGATCTGAACCGCTTTTCATCGTACCTCTCTCTTCATTACAACACGCTTGAAACGCTAAAGTAGTAGATAATCGGACACCTTGTGTTTCTCTTACAAAGGTTTAAGCGGCTTCACACACGACATCTTTTATGGGCCAAACAACCCATGTTTGATCAGAAATCAAAAAAATTTTTTTCTATAGGTACTTCGATTAATCCTCATTTACCCTGCAGCTTCATTATGACGTTGAAACTCCTTGTAAGTGCAAATCGACGAAAGCTCGAACTATTATGACTAACCGTAAATGAATCAATTAATGGCCATTATTTGTGTTTGTTCCAGGGACTGGAAAAGACTACTTAGATTTTATCAGAGGCTAAACCTAGCCGGCTGATTCGTCCAAACGTAAAAACAGACTACCAACCTGCACCGAACTAAGCATCATATCATTCGGAAAGCGTTCGTTAATCACTGACTATCATTTATGGAAAATTTTTCGTATATTTAAACTAGAATGATAATGCTTTGGTAGGGAAGGAAATTAATACTTGCATGGATACTTGCATGCTTGTCATCAGGAATGTTGCGGATCTAGAATTAGGGTAGATTTGTCGCATCATCCACTAGTCTTATTAAATCTCAAAAATCACCTGCGGAGATGATATGCCTCGTGCATGGCAGTATCTAGGAGCACAGCCGACTACGTGGTCCATAAATCGTCTTCAGATGTGAATACAGTTCGTTTAAAATGACCATATATAGCCCCGCCCGTCTTCCGCGACCTTACCGTAGCTTTGGTCGTCAAATAACCGGCTCTACATCTATGCTTATCTTTTGATGTGTAGATTTTGATCCTTGATTCTCGAAGACGTGGCATTTGTAGAAGATTTCACTTCATGGAGCTTCATAGGCTCGGTTGAAATTGTGTGTGATTGTTACATTCCACAATGCAGCGGTCAAGCACCAATTGGGTGATGTGTAGAATCGTCGGCGTCGTTTGATTTTCAACCATAGATGTGTGCTTACCGGAATATTATTCTCAAACAAGTGGACGCCTAGGATTTTTTATGTGTCAGTTTTCCAGGTCGTCTCTTCTATCGGCCTCTTATGTCGCCAATTATCACTTTTAACATTGTCCAGTTCAAATGTTGCAGTTGTCTTCGTCACGTTAAGTGCTGGCCTATCACATGCAATGATAAGCAGTTCCTTTGTTAAACACATAAATATGAACAAAATTTCTTCCTGCTAACCCACTTAATGCCCTCGGAGTGTTGGGCCCTAACATTCCTTATATATGAATCTGGGACTCGTGTAAGGCTGTGTAGTGTTGGACGTGACCTAAAATGCAAATACGGCTGCCGCTTCGTTTCCAATTAACCGGTTATCAATGCCTTTATCTCTATGCTGTCGCTAACCTCCTACTAGGCTTGTCTCGAAGCATGAATAGGCTATATTTGCATTTAATCACCTCTACAGTGCTTCTAATAGAATTAAATACATGACGCTTTCTTAAAAAACTTATCAACACCGTGCACTTTATCCTTTACCCGTTTGTCCGATTTGATGCATTGTGTCACCCAAGACTGTTAAACTACCAGAACATTTCAGGACCGCACCAATATCTCGTAGTCGAATGATGTATACAACACTTATCACGATAATTAGCTATCATTTAGGCACCGCTATCGTACTTGCTTTTAATTTTAATTATGGTGTGTTTAATTTCAGTTTTTGCAACCGGTTCTAGCGGCTATTACTGAAAATTCTTCTAATATGGATGTGAGTTTGACACGCTTTCTGACCCAATAGTTTGCTATGACACTTTATGTAGCAAGCGCCAAGACGAACTTTCTATTAAACTCTGAATTGATTAATAGCTCACTGCTTTTATACGGTATGCTTGTCGAAGAAAAATACAGTGTTATGAGTCAAAGATGACGCATACAAAGAATATCTGCTTGTTGCTTACAGACTTCATCGGACCACGTCCCAGTTTATGAATTGGCATTGGAGGAGGAGAAGGAGACTTTCCTCGGAATGCTAGAAGAAAATAGCACGCCGCTTGATAAAGTGAGTATTACCTACATCTACGTTGTATCTCTCTTTCTGTCTATTAAAATGCTCTAAAGGCGTAAGGTCCTTAAAAAGCTTCCATTGATCTGCCAAAATATAAAATGCCAAGATGATATTTTACAGGCGGCAGGTGCTCTCTATTTTCGGTGCCACTTTGGAAGAGAGGTGCCTAGAAATGAACTACATCCCGCACATTATCCACGCCTGGTAAGCTTCGTAATCAGTGTGTAAAAGTTAGTTTGATGACCCGAACTTATTACAGTTTTTGATAGTGACCGTTCACTTACTCCTACTCTTTTCTCGTAACTACTCTTGGGAAATAGATTGAGTATGTGTCATCCATATACACTAGTAATCATCGAACTTTGTTATTTTACCAGTAGTTGTCCTAGTCCTCAGCGGACAAACGTAACACTGTCGTTGTTAACTGAAGCTGCGAATATTTTGGAGCGAACCTTAGTCCACAACGAATTCTCTCTAACCTTGGCAGACGATTTCGCCACTATCACACTTATGGACCTTTGTAAAATGCACCTTCGTTTACTGTTCTAGCTCGTTATTGCGCTGCACCACTTTTAATTACTAAAGGAAAAAAAGAGACCTCATGCTTTTCTTTTTTGGCGGCACCGTTTCCATCACAGTGGAATATATTGAAGTGGTGTGCGAATTTTCATGAGTTGTTCACATGCAAAAGTTGAGTAGGGCGTTGGTTGTTCTATAAATATTTCCTGCTTCCCATACAAGGACCTCGTTTCTTTTCCAGTGCTATACCATCGGATCTTACGATATGGAGGTATTATGACCTCGAAGTGCAGTATGCGTGAAGGTTCCGTCCCTAACATGACCACTCGCGTTGAAAAAGTGCTTGAGATTTCCATTCAGAATGACAACTGATAATAGGCTCATGTCAGAAATTAAGGCCCATCTGCATGAAACTTGACCGTAAATCAACACAACTGTCACTCAGAGGTGTACAGCGAATTCTGCTCGCCGAAGGAAAAAAGGAAAAGAAAGTAGAAAAGGAAACAAAAGAAGCATACTAGCTTATTTCCATGGAGACTTGGACGGCACGCCCTCACTGGTTATGCAACTCCCAGCACATTCACCATTTTTTGGAGTTTTGCTGGTTTAGCCGTTGTGTTTCCCTGTAATCTCGAGGTTAGCGTGGCCAAAGTCTGCCCCAGGTCTTCACTACCGCAGACAGTTGAAGCCTCTGTGGATCAGAAAGAGATTTACCAGCATGCGACTAATTTGATACCATGACAGTAATCGATCTTGGTATTGGATTACTCTTAGCTAGGCATCCGGAAGGAAAGGTCGAACTCCTTCTCAACTTTTGAGACCTTGCCGGGTGACGAATCCTCCTCTGTATATTGCATCTCGACAGAATACTTCCCAGGCAGCATGAGGTGGTAAACCGCTAGGAATCACGAAGCATACGCAGAAGAATGCTATCACACAATGATATTTTCCGGTGGCACCCACTCTTCAACGATTTCTCTACTCCAGTAATCGCTAAGATGCTATAGGAGTGTTGTGGTCAATTCTCCTGGCTTTCGTCATCATAAAATCAGTAGAAGATTCCCGTGGTCGTTTTTGGTAACCTAGAATGGCCACACATTTTAGCCAACTGCCCGTACTCTCTGCACCTAACAGTATCTTTTTAGTGGATCTTCCATGGTCATTAGAACGAGGCAGTTGATTTATGCTGTTTTTGACGAATGACTTAAGAAGGCTTATGAAATTTTTGAAACTAGACGTGAGGTTATGTGTTGGAAGCGACGCTGAGCTATTCACTATGTATTTCTCAGAATCTTTATTGCAATTTTTTAGTCAGTCGAACTGGAATACTCCTATAAGCAAACCTATATGGCATGTTTTCACGAATATGATTAGGTGAATATGAAAGGACAGTAAGGTGTTCCATCGCAGGAAACCTTGAAATTTCATCATGCGAAGCATTTAACCCCACTCTGCGTTCTGATAGGCTTTGAATCACATTGAATAATCGACTGAGAAGCCCTAATTAAGAGATCTGGAGCGCGGATAACAACAAAACATTATTTCACCTCTATTCCCTATAAACTCGGTGATCACCGACTTAATCGAGCTAGCACACAAGAAGTTCCCCCATGGTAGCTGACTGGTGTGCCGAAGCTGTTGCGTTGGGTTGCGGTTGCGTTGCGATTACCCGATAAACACGGGTATCGTGACAGCTTTGTTCCGAGGACTTTTATTCTCACCATTCTTATCGTGAAAGCAGCCACATGTGGTTCATATTGAAATGTCGAACTTCTCAGTTTAAGTGTCGAACTCCCTGGTGACGAGGTTCCCACAGAGCTCCACACGGCGACATCAAACTATTACAATGTTCAGAAATTAATGAGCGTTTTCAAATATTTGTTGCTTTATTGCATTTTTTTTTAACAAATAAACACTTTTTTGCCTTGCTTTATCGTGTATGATTAAAAGGCTAATTCAATGCTTTTTCTGAATTTTTTTAATTTTATGAATTTTTAAGTTTTAATGCTAATTTTGATCTTTGCGATTTTAGACGACATAAACGAATTTTCGTCTAATTTTCTTTTATGAGTTCAAACTCAGTCGTTACGCAGCAAAGACGGCTCGAAACATTAATGGAGTTTGTGGTAGAGGTAGAGTTGGTGAATCAACAGTGCGAACATGGTTACAGAAATTCCAATGTGGTGACTTCGACCTCGAAGATAAGGAAGGCCGCGGACGTCCCAATGAGTTTTAAGACGACGAACCGAAGGCACTAGTGGAAGCAAACACGCGAACGTCTGTTCGAGAGCTTGCAGAACAGCTTCGCTCACTTGAATCGCATAGGAAAGTTTACCCGAGTCGACGAGGTCAAGCCTCTGTTGTGGAAACAGAGCTGCAAACGTTGAGCTAGTTGGTCTGCGAAACTTTGCCTCATCCAGCTATTCGTCAAACCTCTTGCCAACGTCTTGCCCCTCAAGCACCTTGACAACTTTTGTGCGAGAAATGTTTCACTAGCTACGATGACTCAAAAAATGCTTTCAACGAATTCATCGCTTCTAGAACTCAGAAATTGCATGCAATTTGAATAAAAAAAACTTGTTTTTATTTTGATTAATAAAGTTTTGCTTGAAGCAAGCTGCGGTGCTTTGAGTAATATAGTTAAAAACGCTAATTTATTTCCAAACAACCTAAAACATGTCTGGCCACAAATACTTGTTCAATAGCAAATGCTCTTACTGCAATAATCACAATGGTAACAATCGGAAAAGTGGTACAGAGAAATCGATGCAACTTCTTTCAGATCTCTGCTCTGTTGCGTATCGTGGAAAACGATTCAATTTCAAGCGAAACACGTGCTAATGCTGCATGGGCCCTCGGAAATATGGCGGAATATTCGGAAGAGGCGGCACATATAATCGTTAATGAAGTAGAACTTAATCAATCAATAAAACAATCAATATTTTTATTTAATCTAGGTATGTTGGGCATTCTGAGTTAAGAGAAACAAATCAAGGAAATTTTCTTCCAGTCAAACAATTAGGCATTACTTAAAGAACCATCAATCATTATTTTTTTTCTTTTTTTTTTGGTACGTAAACGGCATGCAATGAAGCAAGAACATAAAATTAAGACGTGGTACTCGCGAAGAACACAACTATAATACATTTTTTTAAATTAATATAATCATTGAGTATTTTCAGAGAGGTATTGAGGCCTTAAGAAACGGCCTAATATTCGGTACGGAAGATTTCCCTTCACGCTGCATCGCCGCTTTGTACAATATTGCAACCTGTTGTGCTCATTGCGAGAGGAAATGTCGCCAAGCCGGGCTCATCACAGTAAGATCCCATTATCTGATCACCACGAAGATCACGTTTTATGGATAAAACGTGCAAAAGAAATCTGCAATTGGGCTGGTGACAATCGTTTAAAAAGCTGTTTATGTCAAAAAATTCTAGATGTAGTACGAGTTTACTTACCGTAACCATAACAGTGGAATATTGTTAGGGCTTTCAGACTATAGCGCATATATTGCCTGAACGAAGTCAGGCCGAAGATATGGAATTGAAATGTCTTTTGAAATGTGCGTTGGAGCTCATTTATGGTGGTCTTCGGGATGGAACGGTGCCGATTTTGGTAGGAAGTGATTCAAGTTGACTTTTGACTACAGGAGAGACCATTGGTAGAATATGGCAATTGCTTGTAATTCAATAAGCTCTCATATTTAGTCAATAATGCTATTGACTACATCTTCCACTGAACTGGCGAAACGTTACACCGAGTGGACAGATGTTGCATCCTACTGCCTCAAAATGTTAGCATTTATTGCAGAAGATACGCAAACAGGAACACGGGTGAGCACAATTGTTTTTTTTCTCTTTGGCAAAAAAATACTCGCGAGACTCTCTAACAAGTTTTTCTTTACTTTTTTTTACATTCGCTTTATTCATGCATAAGGACCATTTATCTTAGTGTGCATTCAGACTGATGTCGTACTCAGGGAACCGGGTTTGTTGGATTTGGTATTCGAAATTCTCGACACGGTAAGCGTCATGATTTTTTAGGCTTCTGCTAACATCTCGGTGTACATTTAAAACGAACATCAGCATTGTGCTTGTCATATATAAAGATAGTGAATACGTGCTATTACGCTGATATCAGCTGATATCTGAAAAATTGTCAAGATTATGTTCACAGTCAATATTGAATCATATAGCTCGTAGATGATCGCCAAGTAAAACCAGCCTTACCTCATATCTTTGCACGATTTTCTCGGAACTTGGAAATTACCGTTAGGTCATCACCATATTTTGTCACTCTTTTAATTCAGTCCCTTAGTCAACTTCATTTTGCTGCGCTTTGCGTGTTGGGCAGCATCACCAGTGCTAACAACAGACACAGAGAAGCAGTCATCTCGAACCCAAGATTCTGTGACATTTTGGTAGGTTTATTTCTTCCGAGTAATATCATTAATATCGGAAATAGGCTATATACTCTGCGTAGGCCAGGGACACGATAGTAGAAACTGAAAATTCATGCGATTTCCTCGTGAAATCAAGCTCAGAACCAGGTTTTTATCTCCACTTGTATAGGAAAGCAATGGATGTCGTCAACGATTAACACTCAAAAGAAAAAAAATTGCTACGAACCGTTGATTACGTGCTTTTTTGACTGTCAGCGATGAAGTCCGTTGTTATTCATTGGTTACCTCACCGCTTGTCGATTTTCGTGCAAGCTGGAGCGTCCAATTTTCATAGCTCTTTCCTACTAATCGAATGAATGTTTCTCTTGAAGTCCTGAAGTGGTAGCTGTGCTAGAACCTTTTCAGATAGTGATGACATGTGTCAGTGTTGATTGGACCATCATTTCCTGATTTTTCACTAGATTCCTTGCCATTCGGCACCTAGCAATTCCCAGTACAAATTTAGTTCGTGAACCATTTCCAGTATGCCGCAGTTCCATACCTACGAACACCAGCTATTCGCGATAAAAATCACAAAAAATAAGACATTTGATCAGGAGTTTTATTTAATGGCGTGTTCGGTGTCAATGTTCCATTAAAATCATCAGTTTTAGAGACTGCGGTTTCTCGAAGAGACTTTCGCAATGATTTTTCAAATTAAATCACTTCTGTATAGCTTTTTATATACCGTTCAATTTTTTTTTCAATGAAGGTTAATATGTGAAATACAACCACAATGATGCTGAGATATTTGCAAAACCCCGGTTGCAGGTGCTAGGAATCGAACACGGTGTTATCCTTTCCGTGGGCTAACGCGTTCACCACCACACCGTGATGGTCCTTTGTTTCGTTTTTCTCTCACAGGTTTCGACTACAGCTTCAGCTCAACTGGCTTCACAACCGATTTGTGCTCGCGAGGCCAGTCCCTTTGAGCAACTATAAAAGATGGCTAAGAGAGAGGCGAAATGGAGGACTCGCATGGTGTTGTGGTGAACGAATCACCCCTCGAAATTAGTAACAGCGTGTTCGATCGCTACCCCGTGCACCTGTGGTCCAGAGTTTTGCAAATACCTCAAAATCGATTCTGTCTTGCCACCTGGGAGTCTTCTTTCAGAGGCGCTCGTTATCGAAAGAATCTCCTGTTGCTGTGCGAAACGTTTCCAGTTGGATATGTCGCAATATTGCGGGTGGCCAGCCCGAACATGTGGATGTGGGTGTCTTCTGAAGAGTATTGTCTTTTTCACAAGTTTTTTCTTTCTAGAAAATAGGTTATAAGACGTTTTTATGTGGTCGTATGGGTTTTTCAATTGGTCTTAAAATGCTTTGCTTCTCATTTTTCTTCTTAACATCAACCATATTTTGTTAAAACGTCTATAAGAGGCAGATCTCACGCCTTTTGGGTAAACACTCCGTTTTTATGTAATTTATTCGAAAATAAACGAGAATTCTAGTGAATGTTCAAATTCATATCTATTTAGTTCCTGTTCAAGGATCCGGATGTGTACACATTGCTCTTAGAGGGGGCAGAGTCGTCAGATGGGGAGAGCGAAATCAGTCAGGTCAATTAGCAAAGTTTCTCACTACACTAGTGATTGACTGAAAAAAATATTTCATATAGCCAGACTTTGGATTGCTCGGTTAGAATTGACAAGCATGTTCGGGACAATCATGCGAATTACCTCAATTAATATAAAAGAAGCACAACACACGTTGCCTTGATAAAATTCACAACATTGCCCGCTATCTGAACCACTAATATGGAAAAGATTTCGTGCGGAAGAAGTTGTCAATATGGCCATTGCTTAATTCTTCGGTCGTTTAGTAAGCGTACCCTCCCAGTAGTTTGCTACTTTGTCCTGGCCTGGTTGTCTTATTTGCTTCAAAACTGCGATTTGCACCAAGACCTTCACAATCAGGTCCAGTTAGTTAGATAGTAAAAAGAAATTCTACACCAACATGCAGATGCCGTAGAGAAAGTGCCATATTGCGAGAAGCCTACTAAGATGACGTGCCTCCATACGTTCCACAATGACTGTGGACTGTTTGTAGTAACAATCCGGGAATAGCTTGATGCAGTCTGAAAGAAACCTTGCTCGAACTGCAACTGATCAAGTGAAATTTGTGCTAGAGAGCGTATAATTTCTTAGGAAAACAGACAATTCAACTATTCAGCTAGTCTTTCAAATTATTGAAGCTTATAATATGTATTCTTTCTTGATAAGCTTACACGAGGTTGATAAATATATTTATTTTCGGCTAACGTTTCGACGTCTTCGTCTTCCTCAGAGCCGGTGATCCGAGTCGATGGTCCCTGCTTGTTGTTCGCCTCGACGTTGCGTCTTCGCCTTCGTGTCGAGCCAGATCTTCTTCAGTGAGCCATCTTCTCGAATGAGGCATCCTCACTCAGTGATGCCCTTTTATACACGATGCTGATGGTGGATATATAATGACAATGTCCGGTGGTAACAACTTGTATTTCTTCCGGACATACATCATTGCGCACATCGTGATGTGATGTATGTCCGGAAGAAATACAAGTTGTTACCACCGGACATTGTCATTATATATCCACCATCAGCATCGTGTATAAAAGGGCATCACTGAGTGAGGATGCCTCATTCGAGAAGATGGCTCACTGAAGAAGATCTGGCTCGACACGAAGGCGAAGACGCAACGTCGAGGCGAACAACAAGCAGGGACCATCGACTCGGATCACCGGCTCTGAGGAAGACGAAGACGTCGAAACGTTAGCCGAAAATAAATATATTTATCAACCTCGTGTAAGCTTATCAAGAAAGAATACATATTGATTAATCACACCGAGGTTTAGGGAAGGTCGGTTTCGAAATGAAGCTTATAATATCAAAACATGGAAAAATATAGATTGTTAATTGGTTCTTTCACATCTTCAAACTATTTTAGGAGTGCAAACGAGCAATTGTTAATTTGCTTCTTCATGCCAGCCGTGATAAGATCACACTGATGATAGGATCTGGTACGAAATCTGTTTCTCATAGAAATGTCTTAAAATGGCACAGTTTAAGTTTAAAGAAAAAACTGAACAAGAAGCACATGCGGTTTTGTTTGCTTAGTTACTTGATTATCTCTCAAATCGGTGAGATATTTTGATACAAATATTGAACGACACTTGTATGCGCTGACTCTTCACTCGTCGTCTTCGATACACATTAGAGCTTCTCTGTAGCTCCAGTTCACTCTGGGCACGTATCCAACAGTAGATTACCAATCACTTCCGGAACAAATTTCTGACTTATCTGCTTTCTTGTTTTTTTTAGTGACAGTTGGATGAATCATCATGCAGAATAACGTGACATGCTCGTTAACACAATTCGGCACTAATGCACGAGAATTATTGCATGTATACGAAAGATGAAAGGCGTTTGTGGCACAGTAGTCGGAGGCGCCCTGCAGCACACCTTTAGAATCGATGCCAGCGCCCGTAGACCACCAAGTCTTCCATCTATCTGCGGCCGGAAAATTGGTACCAGACTTGTCTGAGAGGCTAGCAGCACTGGTTCGATACATCGGTGGGCCACCGCGAGTCATTGTAAGGGCCAGGTATGCATTCAATCACCTCCAAACGATGCTTAAAGAAGTCGAATGCATGGTGCATCCCTTAAGGATTGATCAACGCCTAGAGCTTTATCATTTATATTAAAGATATGATAAGTTCAACAAAGGGCCAGAGTTGCTCTGCAATACACACGTATTCGCTGGTTCGACCACGAATAAGCCTCGTTGGGAGAAAAATTGGTATAAAACATGTACCGAAGGGCAAAATCGTTGACCATTTTCATCGGCAGGCCCATTGTAAGCCATTGTATAGGCTAGATATAAATTTATTCACCACTATATTGCTCAATGAAGTCGAAGGGAAGAAGCACTGGTCAGGTATTGATAAATGCGGCGCGCTTAATCGTCTATCTTTTCATTCGAGAGATATGTGAATCTGACATGGCGAAGCCTATTGGTTTGATCCACTATCTCTGTCATTTTGTGTGTACCTTCCAGATTGTTTATGATGACCAACTTATTTTAGGCCACTGATGGTTGGAATGTGATTTTAGGTGTATTCCTTCTGTTCCCGAATCTGCTGTCAACGTCAGATTTGGAACTAACCAGAGGAGCATTGGAAGCGATGCATACGCTATTACCTGGATATCCGGAACATACTAACTATGTTTATCATACGAAGATGTTGGATCTGGTGAAGTCGAGTCTCCTTGAAAACGATGTGGATCTACAGGTAATGTTATTAGACTGATAGTGGACGGTCGTTGTTCGATTAATTCGTGGTGGTATAAAATATTATTGATCTTTTTAGGAGTTGAAAAACGAGGTTCAGACTTTTCTAAACGCCAGGGTAATACCAATTCTGCCACCATGTACTATCACGTTTGTAGATTGAAGTAAAGTTAGCAATTTGTTAACGGAATCCAATAAAAATGACCTTTCAAGCATTGTTAAACGGGCAAGAATAAAGCTATTTGGATTTGAGATTTTTATGGGTGCGAAATGGCTGTGGACGAAAGAAAAACTACATGTACTTTGAGAGTTGTGCTTTCTAAGGTTACAGTATGTCACGCAGTTCTCTTTAGCGTTGTTCCGATTTTTTCTTCTCGGAATTTATTCATTCACCGAGCAGCGTTGTTGCTTCGAGAGCCGATCTTTCTTCTAAGAATTCAGGATGTTATTTGTAAAGGAAACCAAAAGAGAGCAACCGCAGAGCACGGAAACAACTTCTTATTCTATCTGAGTATAGCAACTGTGCTTTTGGCTGCGGTAGTAACAATTGAATTAATGGCTCGTTTAGTTGTTCAATGAAGAGCCACACACCCTCGATATGAGACTCCTCATCTGTTTTCGACTGTTTCGGTGATGAATTTGCTTGAATGGGGGTAGTCCGGTTTGAATAAAAATGGTCACTAGGAATCTGCGTTTTTATGAAAATCGCCAGGGTTTACAAGACCGACTAAAAAAACATCATGGTATTCCTTTATTATAGCGCCCTACAATTGTAATGGGCTTTTTTGTAGTTGCTAGTCGAAAATAGGCCTTCGAGTCAGTTCTCGGCACCGAGTAATCACTAGCTTTTAGCAAAATGCTCGACTTCGTGAATAAATGCCACGCGGGACTTTTCGTAGTAGTCACAAGGCAATACCTCAAACTTGGGTAATTAAACCTTCATATACATAAATGCAACAATAATAACATGATAGCAACTATAGAGAAGTAATGGTAGAGGAATGAGACAAGTTAGAGCTCTGAGGTGCTAAGGCCTGTAGTGAACTGAGGCTAACAATGAGGCATTGGCATTCAAACATTGTAATACCATTAACACAATATTAACAATAATAATGGGATTACAACGAAGTAGCCTTTGCTTAACCGTAAGCGATGCCGCGCCGCGTCTATTCGCGGCCGGCGCGGCGGCTGAGGGAGACAGTATGCTGGGGGCGGAAGGAGGAGACTGTATGCCGCGGAGAGGGAGACAGTATGCTGAGGTGGTGAGGGTTACAGACTGGCTATGTTTCGGCCAAGCTAAGATTTCAACATTATAGCGATGAGGAGCATTTTAGTGAATCGATGAGGACTGTAAGTTACATGAGCGTTGACGGCGCTATGGACAGTGAATGATGAGTCATCTACGGAACACAGTCAGGCGGCTGGTCGTGAATAACGCTATGTCAGCAACGTGAACTTTGAGCATCGATGGGTGCCACCATTGCCTAAGGGTAAGGGCCAGTATGATAAGTGGCTACAAAACTGATAAGCCTATAGCGGCTTAGCAGAATATATAGCATAAGTTGGCCGCTTAGCGGCATTGTACACATTGCGTGTACATTGTGGGAGGAATGGTACATGCCACCGATGGCGTTGCAAACAGAACGCATTTGGTAACACCCCACCCGCCACTACTGACATCACACCCTAGACAAGCTGAGAAACAAGATACAATAATCTGCTGATTACTGAAGGATGAATGTGAGTGTGTGAATGAGTGTGATTGAATAAGAATGAATGACTATGACTAGGAATGAGTTGAGGTGATTGAGGATGATTGAGGATGTGGTTGTGAGGAGCGGATTAACCGCGCTACCAATCGGGGTAAGGTGAGTGATGGCATGTCTCCGCCGTCGAAGGCACCTGGCTTATATCGGCTGCGGGAGTCGCGAGCGTATGCAACCGCGGTTAATCTGGATTGTTGATCCTGGACCGCAATAGACTGTACCTAACTGCCTGAAACATCAAACGTCATTAGCTTCGTTGTTTCGCAAGCAAGTAGTAAACTGTTCTATGGTTACGCCTCCTTCGGATAAGCCATTGTTGGCATGCTACTGAAGTCAAACCTGAATCGCCATTGTGCCTGAAACATTGAACATAATTGATCCTTAATACTGAAACATACAGTAGTAGAAAGATACAGATATATAGAAAGAAATAGAAACTATTCTGGGAATAGTTGCTATAAGCTTCTAGTATTTGGAATAATACGGGTCCGTATTGCCTCATCCATCAACCATAAACGTCTTCGAACTTTGCGCGTGAGGTCGGCCGCTTGTCGAGGGTTGTTGCCTTCCTTATGAATTTCGTGTAATGCTAGTCCAGTCTATTTTCTTCGCCCGCAGGCCGATCTTGTTACAACTAGGCACTTGGGACATACCTAGGTGTTGTTCATCGTAGAGAGCTTAGCACACGAGTCTGGTACTGATTCCACGATTACTTTGGGATGAGAATTTGGTTGACTTAGAATAAGATCGAACTACGATCACGGACATTGCAAACGATCTCACTACTACGATGCTACCTGTCCCTTGTGTGCAATACTGCGAAGTTTAATAAAAAAAAAAAGAGCAATCTCTGGGCGCTGATCAATCGTTGGGAATGCATCATGCACTCAACTTCATCGACCATCGTTAGAGGTGACAGATTGCATATATTGCCTATACTGACCACCAAGACTTCCATCCATCTGCGGCCGGAAAATTGGTACCAGACTTGTCTGAGAGGCTAGCAGCACTGGTTCGATACATCGGTGGGCCACCGCGAGTTATTGTAAAGGCCAGGCATGCATTCAATCACCTCCAAACGATGCTTAAAGAAGTCGAATGCATGGTGCATCCCTTAAGGATTGATCAACGCCTAGAGCTTTATCCTTTATATTAAAGATAGGATGAGTTCAGCAAGGGGTCAGAGTTGCTCTGCAATACACACGTATTCGCTGGTTCGACCACGAATAAGCCTCGTTGGGAGAGCTGTAAACGCGAGTTTCTCTCTTTCGTCGGTGAGGAATATCATGCGTAACTTCAGTATGGAGTTGATTTTGGACGT